CTCTCGATCGAAATCAGTGAGATTTTACGATTTTTCTCTTCAGTTACCGTTCGCGATTGACGTTGCGCGCGCGGAAGGATGATCGATCTATTATCGTCGCTCGAAGGATGAGAGGCCTATCTCCAACAATCGTCCAGTCACGATAGTAAACAGGATCGTGATGTAACCATCCCTCTATCGTCCTTAGAGCTCGCCGTCGTCGATAGGCGGCCGATAATCGGTTCGGAGAAGAAGGGCTCGGCGATCGATCAAATTCGCCGAAACGCGAGTTAACTCGGCCGGTTGTCGCAAATCGAATACTTTTGACCGGCCGTTGCGCGCCGTGAATTTTCGTGCGAGATGCTCCTTCGAATCACGCGAGATGCCGCGCGATGAGGGAGAGCGAGAGAGATGCGTCGCGCAAAAAATTACCGGGCTAATTGTCGTCCGTCGTTCGGATTGGATCACACGGGCGTGTTAGCATAATCGATCGAGGGAGAGTCATCGAAGGTGACCAGGCGAGGAATTCGTAAGCGATCAGCGATGGATTTTATACCTGCTTTGCGAGCAGGGTTCGACCCGTTCTCGTAAAATTAAGGTGACCCTAACTCCGATCCACAGCCTCTCTCTTTCTTTTTCTCGAGGTGCAGATCGCGTTTCTTTAAATATCTAATTGCCCGATCGAACGCGCGCGCACACCGACAATTACACGCGAAAATTATGTCGAGAAATTACAAGGCAGGCGAGTGGAAGAATCGAAGAATGGCGCGGGAAGAGACGGAAGAACGAGAACGTGTTAGCGTGACTAATACGCGCTTTGTCAGCGCCGGGATAATCGCGCAGCGATTTTCGCGCATAATTCATTTCGCCGGCGCAATTTGCCGTCTCGCGATCCCACTCGGATAAAAGCTCTCCAGCTCTAGGCGCGGAATATTGAGACACGGAAACGGCCTCCGCCGTCGAAAGACGGCGTTCTAATCGCCGCACACGCGTGCGAATTATTTATGAAGAAGAAACGGCATAATTAGCGCAATAATTATCACGTTAACACGCCGTAATGAATTCATCGCGTAAATCAATCAGCGATTGCAAAAAAAGTATACAAAAACAGGAAATAAATAAAAATCTGTCGTATAACTGTCAGAAACAATTGCGATGACCTCTGATAGCTGAATCCGCGCGCGGTTGAACGGACAAGGCGGGAAACGTCGCGGCACATTACGCAAATACGGAATCCTCGTTGCGGGATGCTGACAGCAGGAAGCCTGGACCGCGCAAACAATATTAATCACAATGCGCGTATTTGCACGCATGTCGCGCCCACTGCCCTACGTACTATTCGCGGCTGCAGCCGCCACCGTAAGTGTTTGCGCCGCTCCACACGCACGCAGCGTGTGCTTATCCGCGCGCTGACAGTTCGTTTGAACGCAATTAGCGTGTCGCTTATGACGGCAAGAGAACGAGAACGGCCTGCGCCTATCGTCCGCGCGATCGCCGAGTCGAATTAACCGTTTCGCCGCGCTCGTCGCGCCGCGATAGACGAGGAGCTGATCGTTTGACAGCCGGGACCGATGCTGCTTCGCGATACGGTATTTTTCAGTCCCCGTTTATCCGCGGTTACGTGATAAGTGCACCTTATTCCCATGTAATTTGCACGAAACAGCGTAATATTTCATTATCAAGTTTCTTGCTTTGGCAGGCAATGGCTAGGCCGCGGCTCCGGACATGATAAATCAAAATGGTAAAATGCACTTTACAGTTAACGCGTAATGACGCATGTTGTTGCACTGCACTCGCACAACAGCAGTTGAATAATAATCAAATTACAGCTAAACAATTAAAAAAGCAATAAAATTTCATATTATTTTTAGATATTTATGAGAAATACTTAACAATATTTAATACGTATTACGAACGTTTAAACATATATTTCCAGTCCGCTCGCATGATCGATAAAACATTAACGTGTGCATCGAACCGCGACACATCGTGCATTAAGCTAAGTGTTATGTTAAATGATTACGATAATCTTGATCGCGCCAGTCTCATTGATACAACTCGACGTCGACGCCGACGGTAATCGCGCGCGGTTATCAAAGCTGTAAGAAGCGAAGTGAGCGTACAACGCGCGTTCGACGTTTGTCCGTCGTCGGCGCGCTTCTTTGTGTACGTGGTCTCGGCGGCTACGAAACCATGACCGTAAATGTAAATGGGCGTCGTCATCTCGCCGGCGGCGCGAGAGGGACGCGAGAAAGACGACGGGGAGGCAAGAAGCGGAACCGTGCGAGGTGAAAAGGGACAGAGGAGGAAGCAGAAAGAGTCGATCGTAACGACGAGGCTCAACTTTATGAATATTATTTTCCAGCAGATGTCCTGGACGATAGGACGTCGTCGCCGTCGTCGCCGTCGTCGTCGTAATTAATGACATCGCGGGTGCGACGAGGAGGGGGTGGGCTCCGTGCCAGCGGTTGAAGAAAGACGGCGAAGGGACGGAGCGGGGGCGACGAGAGGACGAACGTAGGTATGGAGATGCGGAGGCAGGCAGCGCGTAAGGGGATGCCGACGATAAGGAACCCGTAGTAAGGCAGCGAGAAACTGATGGCGGATGGTAGTCGGACGACGACAGACAATGCGCGTGAATTATGCCGGAATGACTGGGTAGTTTTAAAGCCAGGAAGCCAACATTAGCGCATTGATACCGAACATTCTGACTGCGGGGAATCATTAATATTACTTACTTCATAACGCGCGAGAGCCGCCGCAATGCGCGAGGGTCGGCGGGCGCGCGATGGGAGCCGCCGTCTCTCGCACAACTCCGCCTTCATCCGCTCGTAACGACTGTTTATCCGCCAGTCATATATCCGAAATTCAGTTCCATAGATATCACTCGTGACGGATTGTCCAAGTATACGCGATTATGATGGTGTCAGTTGCAAATTTGCAGTCGTTACTTTTCCGCATTGAATATGTCGAGTGATTATGTTTGCGTGAAAAACTCCAAATAAATCTTATCTCGCTCGTCGAAGTAGACTATGACGCGAAATTGATGAGATTTAATTGACCGAACTGGCGGATAGACTTAAGGGGAAATCTGGAGTTTTCCTCCGCGAGCGAGTAGATCAAATGGATTAGCGGAAACAAATCATCGGGATTAAAACGCGGCAGCCGAGGGGACGTGAGCGAGAACAATCGAGGCGACAGAAGGAGTAGAACGCGATCTTCGCTCGCAAGCCCGCGTTGCGTGAGCTTGTAAAATCAAAAGGACAAACAATTAATAAAGTCGGCGCCGTCGATTAATCAGAATAACTCGCAGTTAAATACTCGAGGATCGCCCTCGGCTACGCAGCTGCTGGCGCGCGTATCTCGAGGGAACGAACGAGCGAGCGAGCGCGTGGGCCACGCAGGATAAACAAAGGTTTACATCAGTGTCAGTCGCAACAAGTCCGAATTCGTCTAGGGTTCTCGCCATGAATATTCACGGTGTGCTCGCCGGTCCGCCGCCCTTCCACAGCAAACGCACCCACGTTTCGCTCGCGCTGCTCCGGCCCGTTTTCCGGCCCTCACCCCCCTCCCCTCTCGCCCCATCATCCGCCCCCGCGTCCACACATCCGCTCCCCGTGGCCTCGTGCCCATTTACCACCCCTTGCGATATCCATCGAACGGCCACCAGTCAAAGGCTGAAATCACAATACGCGTTTGTCCGGTTGACGAAGTCGACGGTGGGGTCGACGGTAAAGCAAATAGAACGGGAGAGAGAAAGAGAAAGGGGCGGCTTGCAGGCGACGGGGCGGGGGGGAGGAGGAGTGAGTGGTCGGCGGCGGCGGGGCTCGACCAGTGGTCATTGCCTTTGAATTGGAAATTACGTTTCGGACGGCCAAGTGTCGATTTTCACCCCCCATATTAACTGCTCCGCGCCGCTCGTCGTGGAGGCGCGAGGACGGACTTTGCGCGCCTAGCCGGACTTCTCGGCGAGGGTGAAACCATAGATTTCGGGGACGTCGGGTTTGCTCGGCATCACACCTCTTCGCACTCCCCGTGCATCTTCCAGCTTTTCATTTTCCAAAGGCGCGCGACGTTAAACCCGAAAGAGAACGATAACGAAGCGGAGCCCGTTGCTCCGCGCCCTATCCGTCGTAACGGTGACATGAAAAAGGGGG